GAGCCTGACGTGGGGCTCAATCCCAGGACCCTGGGATCATGACCTGAGCCCAAGGCAGACACTTAATGACTGAGCCACCCAGGCACCCCTGGGCTGCTTTTACACATTGATTCTTTTTTTCTTTTTTAGATTATTTATCTGGCATATATTCTCTCAAATTAAATTATTAGGTCTCTGTAATGAACATTTTTGATACGTAATTATTAGATAATCTCCAGATGAAATTATAAGCCAATTTTTAATGCTACTGGTAAAATAAACATCTACTTGTTTCCCTTAAGCCTGACATGAGCATCGATAATTCTACTTAACTTCTGAAGTCATTTCAGACTAGAAGTACGAATAACATTCCTGTGAGCTCCTGACTCTTCATGAAGATCTTTGCAGTGAGTGCTTATTTGCACAGCTGCACTCTCCTCCTGTTTATCTCCTTACTCTTCTGTTTACCATAGACCATTTAAAATACACAGTTCCTTTCAGGAACCTTAATCTGTACCTTTAACCTTGTGATAAGGATGGCAGTCCTAGTTTAGATGAGATCTGAGACCCCTCATTCACCTTGGATTATTTCACCCTCCTGCTACCCAGGGCAGCCGCTGGCCAGGTTGTAAACGTCAACTTCCAGGTCTGTAGTGATTGAAGCAGCATCTTGGTCTATGAGGGTAGCCTGAGGTTACTTGAAGATGTAACATATGTGAGTCCATGGTATCTGTTAACTTAAATGTTGGGATCCAGCTATTCTAGTTGCATGAGTAATGAAAATGCAACATTGTGTTAAGTTTTTATTAAGAATCTGAAATACCGTATGTTAAATTTATGGTACCACATGTACAATTAAAATTAATACCCAAATCACATTCTTCATCTTTTTGATACAGAAAATCTTGGCAATGGAGGAAGCTTTGAATTGGGTGAAATACACAGGTGATGTAACAATTCTACCTAAATTAGGAGCAGTTGACAATTGTTGGCCTATGTTAAGTATTTTCTTTACTGAATGTAAGTATAAATGCATTAAATTGTTACTTGACTCAGTTTTTAAAGGCATTATTTAGGAAAATTGAATGGTGTGGTTATGTGATTTCTTATTTATCTTAGGATTTTAAAAAATGTTTTCTCTTAAAAAAATCTTTTTCTATTGTAAAGAAGAGAAAAGCCTAAATAAGAGAACTGTAATCTCATAGTTAGCTTTATTCTATATTTCCTGTCTTAATAATTTCTATGACATCACACTTCTAAAAATCCTACCAAGTGAATGCTGTAAGTTATATATATATATAATACCCAAAAAAAGAATCCACACCTGGGGCCTCATGTATTCTTCTTCAAAAGAGAAATAAGTAACAGAGCTAAGATTATAATTTTCATTTTCCTGATGACTCTGTTATTCTTTCATATAATGAAACTGCCTTCTACATTTTAACTTTGTGAAATGTTTCTCTAAAGCATTTGAATGTTAGCAGTGTTTTTTTAATAGTACAGCTGTAGGGATCTTGAAGCAGGAAATATTATGCTCTTTAGTTGATGACTAGTAATTTGCCATCACCACTTGAGAAGAGGTCAGATTTTATACTGTTGATCTAAGTGGTAGAGAGAAATTAAGCTTAAACACGGAGACAGGTTTTTCTGATATTACAGACTGGACTGTATTATATCAATAGAGGTGGTTCTCCTCATTGTTCTGGAGGCCTGTAATTATAGGGTAGATTTTATGGTAGAAGTAGAGGACCAATATCATGTATTGGGCACCCATGTGGGCTTGGTTCTGACATTCTCTCTCTCTCTCTGTTCTCTTCTTTATAGTAGCTCTGTAAAGAAGCTACAAGGTAGCTGTTACAAGGTAGCTGCTGTTGTCCCTATTTTAGAAATAAGCAAACTAAGGTTTTGGGAGGTTAAGTGATATTTCTGCAGTCTACTGAGTAGTAGAACCTAGATGAGAAGTCAAGTCTCCCTGATTTCAAAGCCCAGGTTTTTATCCTGTAATCTTACTCTGTCCCTTATTGATTACCTTATTTGGTGAACTGCTGAAATTCTTCCTTAAATTTAGATTTTAGATACTTTTTTCATCTTGGAAATGTATGTGTTTGGCTAGAGGCTTAACTATAGTTTTGTTGGGATAAAATTATTAACATTTAAATCTATAAACAGCTAAAAATACAGAAAATGAGGTCTGATAAACTTTTAACATAAATTTTGGTTATTACCTACTGCATTTTAATTAGTTTATTAAATTTTTAAAAGCATAGTATTTCAAATAAACATTTTAACGTTTCATTCATGAGAATCAAAATGTTGCAATAAGATATTTAAAATTCTTTGTTACATTAAGTATATTTTAGAGAGTTTTCCAAGTTTTTGTTTTTAGACATTTTTGTTGAACATTGTGCCAAGGTACATCATAGGCTCTCAGTAATGTTTGTTGAACTAACTTGAGTAATTATGAGGCCTATTTGGAATATTATGACTGAGGATTTGTTTTAACTACAGTTAGAATTAATGTAATAATAAGTGCTTTTTTTAATGGTAGAACTAAAATAGGTTAGATTCACAAGCAGTGAATCTAATGTGTTCTAAAACATTTTATCAGTTGTTCACTTTAATTTGTATAATTTGATACGTGTAAAAGATTCTAAGAAACATGTTATTAGAAATATTAGAAAGTATAATAATTAGTTGACCTTATGGACTGACCTACGTAACCTAAGTTTTAGAACTTTAACAATACCAGTTTGCTTTTTTTTTTTTAAACAAATGTTCTCTCACTCTCTCCTAAAAATAAAATTTAGACAAGTATCACATAACTAAAGTTGTAACAGAAAACTGCAATTTGCTTGAAGAATTTAAAACTCAAAATTGTGCGGAATGTATAGAGGTGAGAATAAATATTTACTTGTAAGTATATTTTAAAATTTATCTGTTAGAACTTTTATTAACATTCAAAGAAAGTTCAATAAAACTGCTGTCTGTCAGCACACAGGAACTATTGTAAAATTCAGTAACACGTTTGAGGGAAAATTTTAATAAATTTTGATTGGAATGTTTTTTTGGAAGAGGAAAACAACATCTTGATCAGAATTTTTTAATTTACATATGTATTTCAAATATATTAAAGTAAATTTATAGAATATTGAATAATAAACATTTAAATATATGTATTTTAAAAGAGTTAATTGAAATTTGAAATTTGATTTTTTTAAACTAAGGTTTTTAATTAGTTGAAGAAATACAATTTTCTTTTATATAATAACAGCTTTATTGAGATGTAATTCATATGCCATAGAATTCACTCAAAGGAAAATTTTTTTTTTAAAGATTTTATTTTTGAGTTAATCTCTACTCGCAAAGGCGGGGCTCAGACTTACAGCCCTGAGATCAAGAGTCACATTCTCTACCAACAGAGCCAGCTAGGCGCCCTGGGAAATATGATTTTAACTAAATTTTTAAAGAGGGATTTAGGAAAATATTTAGTGTTCTATTTAATTCACTTACTAAAGCCATTTATAGGATCCAGTTTATTTTAATCTGTTTATTTTGAAAATTTGAAGTGAACAGTTTCCATTATATCTGTAGCATCTTTTATTTCATTCTTGCTAATTTTGCTGCCTCATTTTTGTTAATCTAGTCCACATTGACTCTATGCTACCAATTTATATATATATATATATATATTTTAAGCACTCAGGATTATTGACTAATATATCTTCTAACTTAAAATTTTACCTTGCATCTGTTTTTTTCCCTGCTATATGACAGGCTCAATAAGGTATTTTTAAAAGTGGGCCTGCCAAATACTATACACAAGGGGATAAATTGTTAGTTGTTACTCATAATGTGGTGGTTTTGTTTATTTTTTAATATTCCTTTAACAAAGTTAGCTTTGAGTCATCAGAAATAGATTTTTTAAAATAAATATACCAAAATATTAGATATTGGGTTCTCATTTTCTACATAAATAATCTCCTAGCTTATTTCTGTTATCAGAGATAAAAGCCCAGAACCATTTTTCCTAGATATTGGCGTTCTTGATTGTCTTTGCTTTTAATTGATGGGTCTTCTTTCACCTTGGTTTCTCAGCAAGGAGAGCTAATGAAAATGAAAGGAAATGAAGAGTTTTCAAAAGAAAGATTTGATATAGCTATTATCTATTACACCAGAGCCATTGAATATAGGTAAGAGCAAAATAGAACAATGAGATCCTTATTGTGTGGCAGATCAAGTTGAAATGCTAGTCAGGAGAGGTAAAAGTAAGGCGAGGAATTGGAGAGAGTATCTTCAACTTGCTATGTAGAATAGATTTTCTCACCCTTAGGCATTAGAAGTGTTAGGGATGGCCTGGGTAGGTGAACATAACTGAGTAGTAGAATTCAAGCAAGTCAGGCAGAATTGTGAATATTGCTTCTACCCTGCCCCATTTTCTCTCAAGCTTTCCAATATAAGTCCACCTGTTTTTTCTTGTTCTTATTTTGCCTTCAGCTGATACCTTCCAAATTATTAGCTAATCAAAAAGGGCTATTTACTAATACTTAAGATGTTTACCCATTCAGGAATTTTTGCTTTCTAAGAGGGAACTTTTAAAGTATAATAGTTGGAATTGTTGAAAGAGTGTGTGTGTTCTCTCCACCTCATCTTCTGTTTGCTCAGCTGCTAGAATTTTGTAGCATTCCTACATGTGTGCCTCATACTTGGTTCCTACTGATATTTTAGCTGGGCCATCTAATATTGTAGCAGTCTTTGGAGGATGTACTGTAGACAGCGACTCTCTTTCCTACCTTGCCTATCTCCATGGGGAATGAGTGAATCAAGGTAGCACACCACATCTGGAAGGCTGCTGCTCTGTTCTGAGGAAGGAAACAGATTAAACTAGAAAAGACAAAATTTGAAATGAAGCTATTTAAATTGTTGAAATTTACAGACTTTCTTTGTCAGAGTTCTTTGTCAAAGTGGTATAGTTCTGACTTACATAAGTATAATTCTGTCCTGTATACCTACACCATACTTGTGATTTGCTAGCTTTTTAATATGTCTCATTTGATCCTCACAACATCCCTATGAGCTAGGCAGAAAAAGTAGAACATTTTGAATACAGTGAAGTGTAGATTGATTTGAACAAAGTTACTCTGGTAGGAAGTAAAGGAACTAGGACTTAGCCAGTTAGGTCTCCAAATCCTATATTCTTTCTGCTCTGCCACACAGATGTAAAGTTTTTGAAAAATTTTTCATGCCTTATGTTTTCTGTGTGCTTTTTTTTGTTTTGTATGTAATGTACTTTACTGACTAAACATTATTTCTTTTAAAGACCTGAAAATCATCTTCTTTATGGTAACCGAGCTCTTTGTTTTCTTCGCACCGGACAGTTTAGGTAAGTTGGTTAGAGTACCCCAGTCACTGAGCTGTTATGCTAAATACCCATTTTTGAGAAATATTTGTGTTTTGCAGGTATATAAGAAAATCCTTTAGTAGTTTTTTGTCGGATGTAGTTAAATGGTTAAAGGAGCTGTGTAGGCTTTATACATAACAACGACAGCAGCAGCTGTTCTGATTGAGTGGATAACATGTTATGTGCTGTTTCAAGTACTTTACATTGTTCCTTGATTCTCACAACACACTTACTAGGTAATGTTATTCTCCACACTTACATTTGGGCGGACTTATACTTACTCATAAGTAGTGATGTCAAGATTTGAACACAGATCTTATCTGATGATGTTGAAGTCTTTGTTTATAATACCTGTGTTATTTCCTTTTGCTCTTTTAATCGTATAATTCTGGAAGAATTTTTGCTGTGTTCTGTATCTTGATATAAAAAAATAAAGTAAATCTCATTTGTAAGTGAAAGAAAAAAGAAATCTAATGGTTTAACCATCAGAGTGAAATCATAATTCATTCTTTTAATTTCTTACATAATTAATTCTTCATTTCTCATGTTGCATGAGTTTTTATTAGTTGAAAAAGATTGTTGACACTGCACCATGATTTTGTTGTCCCTCAGTTTAAAATTTTTTGGATATAAATTACAAGCATTAATATTGAGCAGTGTATGCTGTTACATTTAATTATGTCCTGCCTTACTGTAAGAAGGGCTTAGGGTGGCTTCAGGAATAAATCTGCTCAGTAGAAGAATATTAAAAACACAACCAAACAAACTAAAAAACCAATTTAGAGCTGGGGATCCTCAGAATAAAGCTCTATAGGGATAAGGTCCTGCACAGTTATTAGTTACAATTCATATTTGTATTTGACTTTTCTGTTGCCCAAAATAAAAGGAGAAAGCCTGACAAGTTACATGATTCTCACTGTCCATGAAGAAAGAGGATAGAAGTTGCTCAGGTGAAACAGTTTTCCTGATGTTTAGTTCTGGAAGAAATTTCTTATATGGCTTACAAGTAACATGGACTGGGTGATGGAGAAGAGAAGAACCTCAGCCACATTCCTGTTCAAAGCAGAAAACTCCCTGAAAGTGCAGTTTGGGTTTCACAAATAAATTTTTTTGAGGAGTTTTCTGATCAAAGCGGAGAGTCTGATACTAGTGGTTTTTAGTTAAAGTGCTTATTGTTGGGATGTGGGAGGGTGGGAGTGGGGAAGAGAGTATATTCCAAGTATGTAGCTTTTAAAAATAACATTTGTTTTTCTTTTATTATAAACAGAACACATTCTCATGGTAGAAAATTTGGAAAATACAAGAGTTTAAAAAGAAGAAAATAAAAATCACCAGTAATCCAACCACCTCGGAGAATACCGCTGTATTAACGTTATGCAGCTTTTAGATGGCTTAAGCCGTGGATAAAGCGAGGCTATCTAGACTAGAGGAATGGATGGGCTGGACACAGTCTTCCATCAATACCACTGTCCTCAACTGGTTCTGACAAGAAATGAGCTGCAAATGTCCTTAGGTTATTGCGTCTGGCTAGGTCCAGAATTGCAGATATCCTATGCTGTTTGATGGTGAATCTATGTGCTTTCAAGATGAATAGGTTGGCAACTTGGCTAGCCTCTTGTGAAAATTGAAACCTTGATTGGGCGAAAGGTCATCCACTCTGCATAGGGGAGCTCTGAGAGCGGAGAGGCAAGCCGGGGGGTTTCTGCCCGCTTTCATGAGTGTTGAATGCTAGACACTCAAGGAGGATCCTCTTAAAACTACGCTGCAAAGGAGGTGCATCAAAGTAGAAATACAGAAGCCAGGTAGTCTGGCGAGGAAAAGGTCAAGAGCAGGGTTGTACGTCAATCCTTCTACCTACTTCCTGATAGTCTAGCTTGTGGTTCAACACCCATCGAAGTTTTCACTAGAGGCAGGTCAGCAACATTTCCTTCTCATGCAATCACCGATATGTATTGAATGCCAATGTAATGTCAGAAACATTGTGCCACACTGTTTTAGTGGTGTTTCCCACCTTCTTGCACGTTGTTTATATGACTTATTCAGTAATGTAGGGATAATGTTTTCTGAGTTTACAGTACATCTCACTCCTGACCAAGTGAGTAGATAATGTGACTTCAGAAAGGAACATGTTGCCAGTGATTCACTCGTGCCATTGAAACAGAAGGACCCATGCCCTTTAGCTGAGTTACCATGATTGAGATGTTTTGAAGCTCTCACATCTGAGGTTTGGTAGATCTGTCATGGGAATCTGGCTGAGCAGCTGTGGGACACCTGGGGGTAAAGCATCCAACCTCACTGGCACTGTTCTGAGCACTTTATGCATACAAGCTCAAAAACCCCTCAACAACCCTGCATGGTGGGTGCTGCTATCTCTTTACAGATGAGGAAACAGGAATGGGAGGTCAAGCAAAGTATCCTCAGAAACTAGGTGGGTGTGATGGAGCCAGAATTTGAACCCAGGCAGCCTGGATGCAGAGTTTCTACTCTTAATCTACTCTTAATCCCGATGGAAAGGGCAATGTGAAAGCTGAAAAAAGGATTAAAAAATAAATGGTTCAAATAGTCAATAAACATGAGTATCCTTATAGGACATGCAGATTACAAACTTTGAGTCTCTTTTTCATGTCCATCAGATTGGCAAACATTTTAAAAACCTCATAATTCCAAGTGTGTGAGAGGATGTGGAACAAAGGAAACTTGCATACTCGGCTGGAGAAAGTGTAAATTGGTGCAATCACTTTGGACAGCAATTTGGCAAGGTGAAGATGTGCATACTCTGCAGCCCACTTCTAGGCTCCTATCCTCCAAACTCAAATGTGTACCCAAGAAGATACGTACAAGCCTTCACAATAGCATTGTTTGTAAGAGTAAAGAAATGGAAACGACTTAAATGTCCATCCGTGGGGGAATGGATAAATAAATGATGGTATATTCATACAATGGAATTTTATGCAGCAGTTAAAATGATGACAATGTTGAGTGAAAAAGCAAGTTGCAGAATGATTTGTATGGTATAATGCGGTTTATATAATGTCAAAATATGCAGAATGACAAACATAGTTAATACATAGTATGTATTAAACATGTTTACAAATGCATGGGCATGTTAAACATCAGTGGAGTGGCTATCTCTGGGGAGGGAAGGAGGGAAAAGGATTGGAGATGAGAAAGTGGTACACAGCAGTTGTGGACTATAACAGAGTTCTGCAAAAGATCTGAAGTAAATACGGCAAAATGTTGCTGGTACATGGGTGTCGACTATATTAATGTTATTCTCTGTACTTTTATGTATACTTGAAATATGTGATAAAAAGTGATACAGTAAAATTAAAAATGCACATAAGATAAAAAAAACAAAAGCAGTGTTCACTGAAACATCAAGGATAAAATAAGTGAAAGTAATCTCAAAAAAAGAGAAGTATAAGTGTTTTAAGACTAATGGTGGGGAGCCTGAGGTGAGGTATGTGTGGGGAAAGTGCTTCATTAAGAAATGGTCCGTGGCTGGTGGTGGTAATGCCAGGTAGTCAAGTTTGTACCACCTTTGGGTGAATGTATGTGAGGCCAAGAGCCCATCTGAACTTTTAACATTCCTCAGACGTGTGCACCTCCAGGTCTGCGGATGTCCCCCTCGGGAAATCTGTGGAATGGGACTGGGGGGCTGTGTGGAAATACGCTACTTCTGCCACAGCTTCTGCTGAATCCTTTAGGCTCAGGACTGTGTGCAGTGTATCCCAAATGCCCGTCGTGGCCTTAGGATACACTTTATTCAGGTCTTCCAGAAGTTCACTTCACAAATACAATTTGGCAGTTATAGGGAATTTTAGAGTGATAGTTTTAATTGAATGTAATCAGATATTTTTCAAAGAGAATCTAAAAAAAGTAATTACGCGTATCTATGGCTTCTGTAGTTACAGCACTTATGTGAGGTATATCATCAGACTGTGCCTCTTTACTGTTTCATTCTTTTTTCTGGTACTCAAATGTGGAAATTTGAATTCTTTGATGGGATGTGATAAACTGTGTAAGGGGAAATGTAATTGGAAAAAGGGAAAGCTTAGCCTTGGATTTTTTTTTAATTTACTTTGGAAAATTATGGAATTTTAAACTTGGCATTTACTTTGACCTTCAGTGTTTACCCATCATAATATATTCTCCTCTGTTAAATCCAACTTGTGATTAATAGCTGGTAGATAGACTTTAAATGACTTCTGTTTTTTTGTTTCGTTTTGTGTTTTTCTGAATTTCTCTGAGGCCAGAGGTATAAATCAAGGCAATTGTATGTTCCCGTGAGAATTTCAAAAACTCTAGTGTGGGGAGCGCCTGGCTGGCTCAGTCAGTAGAGCATTTGGGACTCTTGATCTTGAGGTCATGAGTTGAGCCCCATGTTGGGCGTGGAACCTACTTTAAAAAAAAATCCTAGTGTGTGGGAGGAGCTTCAGTGTGAGTGTTCTATGTATTTCCATAATATCTTATGCCTGTATGAGCACTTAGTATGTTGAACCAAATGAAGTTACCATTTTTGTAATTCAGAATGTAGGCAGTTTCATTTGATTCAATGTAATGTGTATATATATGTATGGGGGTGTGTGTGTGTGTGTGTGTATATACATATATTTTTTTTTAACATGGGTGGAAGCATACTATACATAATGTACTTCTTGCTTTCTTTATTTATTTTTTCTTGCTTTCTTTTAAAAAAAATACTTAAATCTTGGAGCTTGTTGCATATTAGTGTATATAGAGATATACCCTTATTTATGTTCATGGCTCCATAGTCTTTTTTTTTTTTCTTTTTTTAGCTTTTTTTTTAATTAAGTTATGTTAATCACCATACATTACCTCATTACTTTTTGATGTAGTGTTCCATGATTCATTGTTTGTGTATAACACCCATGCTCCATGCAGTATGTGCCCTCCTTAATACCCATCACCGGGCTAACCCATCCCCCCACCCCCCTCCCCTCTAGAACCCTCAGTTTGTT